CTGAAGCCTTAAACAGAGGTGAAGTACTTTATGAATTGTCAATTATTAGTCCAGTCAAGCAGCTGCAACCATCATAAATTCCCCTCCCGTAGGGGCAGTTAGTTTCACAGTGTTGCCAGCATACATCTTAAATGATAATTTACTGGCAAGGATTCACATACTGTGGGCCTTAAGTCATCAGGGCAGTTAAAAAGGCCATATGTTAGGAGGAATATATACCCATTCAAGACGAGGTTTGTTGCTCTAACTTATCCTTATGATTGATGCAACAGTCATCTGACTGGTTAGGCATCCGGACACCTTACATGAGTAAATACAGTTTATATCTTTTCTGGAGTACTCTTACTTGCCAGGGCAATCCATACTTGGCCGAAGAACACAGAAGCAGACCTTTTGACTGGCAATGAGGTCTCAGGGGCATGGTAATTTCTGAATGAAATGAATCAGCAAGTGACTTTATAGTAAAGCTGCTATGAATATGCTGCGTGGCTCATCCGGGACTGCAGTTACCTTGTGTTGGTGCAGATCTCACCACACACAAAAATATTTAAAGTCACAGGGGATGGAAGAATTCACAATCAGCTTTTCTTCATTTGAACAAACCAAGATTACAGGCAGTAGCCAGGTTACATACAAGATAGGGACTGTAGGTTTGTACCTAAGTTGAATTTGTATGTAAGTCGGAACTGGTAAATTTTTTGTGTAACTCCAACTGGTAATTTTATTTTATAAACTTTATTTTTTATTTGTTTGCATTTTTTATTTTATTTGACTTTTTAAAAAAAAAATGTTTGTCTTTTTAATTTTAATGCTGGGAGCAATAGCCAGCCTGCTATTGCATCTGCCCACTGCCTGCTGTCAATTAGCAGAGGAGGGGCCTGAAGGAGAAAGTTCTCTATCGGTCCTCCCATGCCGATTGACAGCAGACAGTGGGCGGGTGCAATAGCCAGCCTGCTATTGCATTTTACAATATCCAATATCAGGCTGGGTATGGCTCCCAGCCTGCAGATGAAGAGGAGGCAGGGGGGCAGGGCAGAGGAGAAGCCGCCGGAACGGGGGAGCGTCAGACCGGGGGAAGAGAAGCGGACGGACCGGGGGAAGAGGAGCGGACGGACCCGGGGAAGAGGAGCAGATGGACCGGCAGAAGAGGAGGTGCGGACGGACCGGAAGTAGAGGAGGAACCGGTCGGGACAGCAGCGGAGGTACGGGGGGCAGTGGAGGAATGCAGCGGTCTGTGTCCCCGCTGCTTCCGTCAACACAGGCGGGGAGAGCAGCGGGGATTTGAAGGGACACAGGCCGCTGCAGCCACAGTTCTCCTAAATGTGCTGGCAGCTGCCGGTACATTTAGGAGAACTGTGGACCTCGGTTTGTAAGTACGGGTTGTCCGTAAGTCGGACGTTCGTAAGTCGGGGACTGCCTTTACTCCCTTGCATGAGAAACAAAAGTCCTTTTGAGGGTTCCGCTTGTTGATTGTGTGTTTGGATGGGGAGCTGGGATCTTGAGTAATGCTGAATCGAGTTTTACTTTACTTGAATATGGCATTTTGAAGAAAACAGAAAGGAAAAGAACTTCCTGTGTTTCATAGATAAGCATGCACACAGAGACTAGCATTGCACTACAGCACCATCTACAGCTCAAAGGACATATCAGTACATTAGTACAAAATTGACCTGTAGGCCCCAGGTTGTGAGAGCATGCACAAGTTTGAGCATATCCTGTTCAGGATCCATGGGTCCGGTTAAGAATTCAAGATGGATGCTGTCAAGTTTTTCTTCTCATCTTCCAGTCAGTTTCATTCCCATCAGAATTCCTTGGTGTTAACAAGGCTCTAGGTTCTATGTACACATGCTTGGAACAGAGGGATCAGGATCCAGATCTTGCATATGGAATCTCTGTATTCAATCAACTTAAACCATCAACAGGATATAGGATGTTGTGCCTGGCAGAGGTGTATTCACGTTCCTGTACTTTCTCAAATGTCTTGCTTGCTGTTCTAAAGTTCCCCTTTCAGTTTGTTTATCTGCCCTTTGGCCTCGCCACATTTTCCAAATATTACATCCAGTTACTGCCTTCTTGAGTAAACAAGGCTTCAAGAATTACTCTATGCGTGGCGACATCCTGCTGATAGTTCAGCATGCTCATACTCTGGCAGTCCACAGGAACATCCTAAGGCTCTGATCAAATTTAACAGGGTTCCCCAAAAGGGAAAGCCAAGCAATGCCAACACAATGGATGATGTTTTCAGAGAAACTCAGAGAATATACAAGTAGGCAGCTGTCTTAGCAAGTCTCTATCCTACTCATTGGCGTCCCATTGTCTCAAGTTTACAGAATCAATTCAGATAGTGAAATAAGACTCATTGAAGGCTGAGGGTCTTCCAACAGGATTCTTCAGATGTGTAACTCACATCACTTCAACAACCTCTTAGTTCAAGGCAAGTGACAGTCCAATGGGGGAAGAAATCTCCAGCATCTTGGAGTTCAGAGAGCCTTTCAGATCCATTGAACCTCCGTATTGATTCATTGAACAACAGGATGATGTTTTTCCCATAGATTCAGTATCACAAGGGAAGAAGGAACTGCTCACTGCTGATGGAGGTACCGCCAATCATGAATTCAGCGCTGAACTCCCCAGAATTTCCTGGCTGACACTATAAGCCACAAAGCCTTGGACAACAATTAATGTTTTCTTATCCAGCAGTTTCCTGTGGATCAGCAGCAAGTGAGTTATCCAGATCTCAACCTGATGGAAATCCCTAAGAACACAGGCTGCAGACACTCCTTATTAAAGAGTGAGCTTTCCAATGGCCGGAGTATTGGATAATTTAATGCTTATATGTTTCCTTCAGTCCACTGGTTTCAGGCCCCTAAATAGGACCCTCAATTATCCAGGTAGGCTGATGGCAGTCATTTGTCTGTGGCCCATCCATCCAGGGTTCTCTCTCTTGTAGACTCTGGCCATGGAATCTTCTATTTATCCTAAAAATGCAGATGTTCTACAGTAGATGCTTCATCCAAACACATCCTAAATTACACTAAGCAGCTTGGAGGCTGGCAGTAAAGTCTGCCTTGCCTGGATTACTCATCTTCAGTCATAGAGTGTTTGTTTGTATGCTAGAGCAGCTACTAAATGTCACATATTCTACAGTGTGGAATGATAAATTCATAGACTTTGCAAGCTCAAAGGGTTTTAACTCTCTTCCCCTTGTCATGACAGATATATTGGACTTTCTTTAGAAAAGCAATATGTACTTGGCTGCCAGTACCCCACACCCGCATCCTCTGAGACAAAATGGGCAGCTCATTTATTGATAAGCCAGCTCTTGAGGGCTTGCACAAGAATTTATTCTTCAGGAAAGTCGTTCATTTTACCTTAAGATTTACAAATAGTGCTGGATATGTTCTTCCTTCTCAACTTCGTCTAGATCACACTTACTCAGATGGACAGTAACATGTAAAATAGTTTTTCTTGCAGCAATCCCCTCAGGGAGGAGGGTCTTGGATAGTCAAGCTTAGGCTGAAAACTATCTTATTGCTATCATTTCCAGACAGTAAAATCCTACATCTCTCTCCCAGCGTCATCCAAAGGATGGAAGATCCTTCCATCTAAATAGGACATCAATGTTGCCAATATTCAAGAATAAAGTTTTGTTTCAGCTCATGCCTTAAATGTGGCTGCTATGCTGAGAAAGTACATTGAGGTCTCCTTCTTTCAGGTCGATCCACAGATGGAGCCACAGATCAATATCTGGGTTCACTCTACTGAAGGATTTCATCCTTATGGACAGATTTGGTGGTGGTATCTCCAGAGTAACACTCGAAGGCAGTAACCTGGTGTATGTTCTTGTCCCATTACAGAGTCGATCTAGGAGCCTTGTCCATGGTGAAGTTTGGTTCTGAATATGTTTAACAATTGTGTAAATAGATAAATATTTATATAACTTTGCCCTCCCTTGTTTTTGCTTGCTATGTCCCATTCATATGCTGCCACGTTGGTGTCAGGAAAATTGTATACTTCCCTATTGGTAATTTTCCTTTCCTGAAGTTTATTGACTTCACAAGTGTCACACCATCCGAGCTCTGATGATGTGACACTTGTGAAGTCAATAAACATTGACTTTTCTACATGCTGGAGTGCTTGTGACCTTTTTTTAATTTTTTTTAATTCATAGTATAACTAGTCCAGTGATTGGGTGAAGGGCGGAGCTAAACCCATTCGTATGCTGCCATGTATTGGCGTCAGGAAAGGAAAATTACAGATAGGTAAGTATACAATTTCCCATTATATATATATATATACATATATATATATATATGTATATATATATATATATGTATATATATATATATATGTATATATATATATATATGTATATATATATATATATGTATATATATATATATATGTATATATATATATATATGTGTGTGTGTGTGTATATATATATATACATATATATATATATATACAAATCCAAAGTAGATATAGGGGCACTGGCTCATCTTGCAGCGGAGATAAGTCAAAGCATCAGTATTTTAGTAACTTTAGCTCAGTCCATTGACAATAAAATGCTGATGCTTTGACTTATCTCCACTGCAAGACCCGTGAGTGTTGTATGTGTGTAGTGTAGACCATTAATCTCTGTTGGGAGAGAACTCCAAAGTCTTATCATTCTTCAATTGAAGAGCCCTTTTAATAGGTGGTGAAGAAATGGTTTCTGATGTTCTGATCATGTGTCCCCATCACAGCACTGTTTTGAACTGAAAAGGTTGTTTGACAGTTTTGGAGTACCATGAATTCTTCATCAATTTAACCTTATTAAAAAAAAAAACTTTTGAAAACCCCAAGCTCTGCTATAATGCACTCCATCACAAAACATGCCTGAACCACAGAGATTACATTAAAATATTGAAATTAAGATGTATTTACAAACATAATACAATAACCAGTGGTTAAATATTCTGGAATTTATAATAATTATTGGTTGTGTTTTGTGCTAGGTTTGTTAACTGAAGTACAGTGCAAGTCGAAAAGACTTCGAAAAAACTGTAAACAAAACAGTTCAGTTTTTCGTAACGTGAAAGTGGAAGATGATGGAAGTGATAACAGACAAGTAACATCAACTACAAAACCAGCCAAAGTGAGAGACAGTTTCATATTTACAGAGCCTGGGGATATGCCAGAGGTTGGGCCTAATTTGAAAGCTGTTAGCATGATTGTTGGCTCCTGTGTATTTTATGTTCTATGTAAAGTGACACTAAACTCGGGAGTTAAATCTTAAAAATGCATTCAAGTACCTTAACGTTTAACAAAAATGTATCTTATTTGTGTATCACTTGGCTGTAGATCCTCAAATCATCTCTGAATTTGTGTTGAAGCTGTCCTTCCTTCTGGAGGGTGGCTAATTTTGTTCCCCGTGGTCTCTGTGTGTGTTGTAAAATAGTCATGGCTCAAAGCTCGCTTCCGTGATAGCCTATAATTTCAATACAAATTAGTAAACTAAACATGAGATTGTATTCCATCATGGGAGTGAGCTTGGATCAGTGGCTTCGGTACAACACGCACAGGGACCATGGGGAACAAAAATACCCACCCTCCAGAAGGAAGGTCAGTGTTAGCACCAATTCCGAGATGATTTGAGGATCTACAGCCCAGTGATACACAAATAAGATACATCTCTGTTAATAGATATGGTACTTGAATGCATTTCTAAGATTTAGCTCTTGAAAGTTTCACTTTAAGGGAAACTACAATGTTTGTATTGTAAGTTTATTACATATATGTTATTTCATTGAAACCTTAGATGGAGACATTCCAAAGATCAGGGAGTGAGGGGGATGAATCACTGCTCTGACTCGAAAGCTATTGAGTGTTTTAAGAAAATATTTTTTTTAAAACAAAGGATGAAAGAAGATAAAGAAAAAAATGTGAAAAGGAACCTAAAGCTGAATAGAAGAATTAATAAAATAATATGCAATTTTTCATATTTACTTGACTAAAACAATTCAGTGAACATGCCCCAGTGTCCTGGAGGTAACCCTGGCATGTGGATTCAGAATGAGCAGGAGGTGATGAGTGCTGTAGTAGGGAGAGGGTAGGAGAGAAGGTGAAATATATAAACTGTGGGGTGGACACTTGAATAGTACTTGAGTCAGTGACGTGCAGTACCTTCAGTGCTGGGTGAGGCATTCCCCAGCCCCGTCCCCAGCACACCCCGCCCCCAGTCAGGCGAAATGCCGCCCCCATCCTGATGAAGCCCCGTCCCCATCCAGATGAAGCCCCGCCCTCCAACCAGGTCACAAAGCTAGTCTGAAGGAGACAGGGAGGGGCCTCCCTGTCCCTTCCTTGCTCGTCACTGGTGAGGCATCTAGATCGATGTCCTTCTTTTTTTTTTTTATTGGACAGCTTGGACCAATGGCGTTTTGCCATTGGTCCAAACCATCCACAGAGCTCAAGCCTCTAACATAGAGTAGAGGTTGTGACAGCTCTTGCCTCACTATGTTAGGTTACAGAAGCAGTGGGGAAGCCCGCTTCTGTGTAACCTAACTTAGCTGTCAAAAGCTGGATGCAGCGCCGCCTGTAATTAACAGTCAGCGCTCCATCCATGACAGGTTACACAGCAAGGAGGCTTTCCCTGTTGTGTAACCTGTTACAAGCCGCTCTAAATGCAGAAAAAGCTGTCAGCTTCAGACTTGAAACTAACAGCTTTTACCTCCATAATACTAGGTGAGGCACTGCCTCCCCTGCACGTCCCTGATGTTCACTCACATAAAACCCACTCTCATCTCACTTCTCTCACCCTTCTACTTCTCCTGACTTTAGTGGATATCTCTCCTAATCCTGGCCCTCTGCTTTCTATTAGTCACCTTCAAAACCAGCACTGCCTTTACCCTGGCAGCAGCTGCAATCCGCGCACCCTGACTTCTATTCCCCTGCTTCCTAGAACCAGTCCTTCCTCCTCATGTGCCCTCTGGAATTCCCGCTCTGTCTGTAGCAAACTCACCGCTGTGCTTGATCTTCTTATCTCCAATTCCATTAACATGCTTGCAGTTACTGAAACTTGGCTTCAGGAATCCGACCCTGCCTCCGCCGCTGCCCTCTCCCATGGTGGCCTCCACTGGACGCACTCATCCAGACCCAGTGGACGCAAAGGAGGTGGAGTGGGAATCCTTCTATCCCCACAATGCACTTTTCAAGTTCTGCCTTCACCTCCCTCGCTATCCCTCTCCTCTTCTGAAACCCACTGTATTCGCCTATTCTCTCCAATTTCTTTGAGGATTGTTGTTATGTACCGGCCCCCTGGACCGGTATCTCGGTTTCTTGATGACTTCTATGCCTGGCTACCTAACTTTCTCTCCTCAGAAATACCCACTATCATTCTTGGTGACTTTAACATTTCTAATAACATTAACACCCTGGCTTACACTCAATTTCTTAACCTAACCTCTTCTTTTGACCTAACACAATAATGGACACATACTCCTACTCACTCTGATGGTAACATACTAGATCTTGTTTTCTCTCACCTATGCACTCCTTGCAACCTCTCCAACAACCCTTTCCCCCTCTCAGACCACAACCTTGTCAGTTTCACACTCACCCTGTCTCCAACCCTGAATCCCTCTACATGGCACACTGTCACCCGGAGAAAGCTTCGCCACCTCGACCATCCTCTTCTCTACTCTGCTACTGACTACCTCTACAGAAAAATCTCCCCCCTGTCCTGCCCTGACTACTTCAGTCTTCCACAGTTCGCTCTCCTAGACACCTTGTCACTGCTCACTACACGCAGAGTAAGACCACGTCCACTAAAAATGTGGCAAAAAATAAAGAAACCAGACATCTAAAAAGACATAGCCGTGCTCTTGAACGAATGTGGTGGAAAACTAAGACTTCACCCTATATAAAGCTGCCCTCCTAAAATATAACTCCTTCCTCCGTGCTGCCAAACAGACTTATTTTGTCACTCTCATCCAGACCACGTCAACTCTTTTCTACTTTTAACTCTCTACTCTGTCCTCCACCGCCACCGCCCACTAACTGCCCAGGACATTGCCATTCATTTCAAAAACAAAATAGATACAATTAGGGATCAGATCACCACTGTCCAGTCATCTTCCCCTTTTAATATACCAGACCCACCATCACACTTGCTACTTTCCTCTTTTGACCATGTCACCACAGAGGAGGTTACAAAGCTTTTCTCTGACACCCACCTCACCACTTGCCCCCTGGACCCAGTTCCCTCACCACTTCTTTGGTCACCCTTTTACTCTATCCTACGCTGTCTTACTCACATTTTCAATCTTTCCCTCTCTACTTGCATGTTTCCCTCCCCTCTAAAACATGCGCTAGTCACTCCCATACCCAAAAAACCCTAATTGGACCCTACGAACCTCAACAATCTCAGACCAATCTCCTTACTCCCATTCATCTCCAAACTCCTAGAACGCCTTGTCTACAGCCGCCTGAGCCGCCACCTCACTGATAACAAACTTCTCGATCCCTTACAGGCCGGCTTTCGCCCTCTACACTCCACTGAAACCGCCTCCTAAAACTCACTAATGACTTACTAACAGCTCAAAACAATAGCCATTACTCCTTACTCTTGCTATTAGACCTTTCTGCTGCTTTTGACACTGTTGACCACCTGCTCCTCCTCAAAAAACTCCACTTGCTTGGTCTACAAGACTCTGCTTTCTCATGGTTCTCCTCCTTCCTATCTAAGTGTCACCTACAAATCTAACTTCTCCCCTCCTCTTCCTCCTTCTTTAGGGGTCCCCCAAGGCTCAGTCCTTGGACCCCTTCTCTTCTCTATCTACACCTGCTCCCTTGGTCAATTAATAACCTCACATGGCTTCCAATACCATCTCTATGTCAATGACACTCAAATATATCTTTCTACTCCACAATTCACCCCCTCAGTGTCCTTGCGTGTCACTAATCTACTAACTGACATATCAGTCTAGATGTCAAAACACTTCTTAAAACTCAACCTTTCAAAAACTGAGCTCATGATCTTTTCATCCAATCACTATCCAAATCCTGCCGCCTTCACCTTTGCAACATCTCCAAAAAACGCCCCTTCCTCACCACTGAAACTGCTAAATTATTAATTCACTCACTTGTTACCTCCCGTCTTGACTATTGCAACTCCCTCCTCATTGGCCTACCACTACACAGGCTATCCCCCTTCAGTCTATCATGAATGCTGCTGCTAGACTCATCCACCTAACCAACTGCTCAGTGTCTGCAAACCCCCTCTGCCGATCCCTGCACTGGCTTCCAATTGCCAAAAGGATAAAATTCAAAATATTATCAACAACTTACAAAGCCATCAACAACTCTGCCCCCGGCTTTATCTCAAACCTTGTCTCAAAGCATCACCCTAACCATCCCCTCTGCTCTTCCAAAGACCACCTGCTTTCCAGCTCCCTCGTCAACTCCTCGCGTGCTCGCCTCCAGGACTTCTTTAGAGTATCTCCCGTCCTATAGAACTCTTTACCCCAACCTGCCCGACTATCTCCCACACTGACTGCCTTTAGGCGATCCCTTAAGACTCATCTCTTCAGGGAAGCCTATCCCACCTCAACCTAACCACTCAACCATCACGTTCTCAAACAATGCATCCCCACACAGCTACCTCCTCATGTATCACTTGTACCTCCCTTTTAGATTGTAAGCCCTCAGGGGCAGGGCCCTCCTTACCATCTTGTCTTGAATTGTATTGTAATTGTCAGGTCTTACTTATATTGTAAAGCGCTGTGCAAACTGCTGGCGCTTTGTAAATCCTGTATAATAATAATAATTCATTTTACGATTTTTAAACATACTACAAATAACATCTACGGATCACTATGTAAGTAAAATGGGAGTAGTGTAAGTGGTGTCCATCTTTGGTTTGTAAATCTGGGAATATATTTCTGAAATACATTTTTTTTCCAAATATAATATATATGTTAATTTTCGCTGGCTATGCACAGATATTTATATATATATATTGTACATTAAACAGATTATTCCTCGTTTGGAACTGACTGCTGAGGACTGTAAGCTGATTGATCATATAGTAGCTGCATACCAAAAATATGGTATCCCGCTAGATGATCACAAGTTATTTGTAAGTATTTGTTGCGATATTACAATCAAAAAGTAAATACATCTCCAAATATCCACTGTACAATTGCTGCTTTATAGCTTTTTGCCTGAAATAGTACTTTATTGTTCTAGTTTACTGTGCAGATTTATTTTTGGCTTCATTGTTTAATATTTCTCCTAACTTTTAAAAAGGCTACTCAAAGTATAAAGCTGAACTCTGGGTAGATATAAAAAGCTATCACTTAACCCAGACAACAGATGTACCTCAACCCTCTTGATATCAGCCTCCTGAGGGAAGAGCAACACCAAAGTACTATCAGGCTTTACTGGATCCAGGGGCGGACCTACCACTGGTGCAGCCGCCCCGGGGCCTGAGCCTAAAGGGGGGCCCAGTATCTGATCTAACACAGCCCCGGGGCAGAGATGGGGGAGGCCCGCC